CGGTGATGTATTGGAGGAGCCACAATATTGAAATCGTCTGATATGTGCGATTAATAACAAAGGAACAATGAAAAACGGAGGGGGTTGATGAAGTAGAATGGCTAGGAGAAAGCAGATCGCTGCTGCTGTGAGTTGCAGTGGCGATTGGGAAGAAATAGAGAGGGTGAAATGATTGGTAAGAAGAAGGGTGAAACGACTGAAAGTGAGAGAGGTGGGAGATGAAGGGGGTAGCTGCCGCCTTTGTTCGTTTCGAACGAATGAGGAAGGTGAGCAGTGCCAAACAGTGGATTTTGGTCCTCGTTTGAATGAGAAAGTTTGGTGTTTATTTATGGGAAAATTCTTCCCATTTTGGTTAGAGGTGGGCCTACCATCTAAAGGTAGTAGACAATGACTTCATTAGTCTAGAATCTTAAACACCTCAAGTGGTTCAGTCTCAAGGTAGAAGACAATGAATAATGTCTTCTTTTGAAGGGTAGTTTTGATATTTTCAATAGATAACTGATGGTCGGTTAATAGCAGGGACCAACTTGGCACTTTTTGAAAGTTTTGGTACTATAGTGATACGTTTGAAAGTTCAGGTACTAACTTGACACTACCCCCAAAGTTCAGGGTACTAAACATGGTTTAAAGTATCGATATTTAGGCGTATCGTATTGTATCTTTTGAAAATGATACGATCTGAAACGCCTCTTTCCAAGCGGTTTGGACCCCCAACTTTTTTTAGTAATAAAAAACACATTTTAAGCTTCCCAAAAAACCAAACTTTGAAAAAAACTTAAAAAAAAGGTGTTTCGACCATTTCTAAGTACCGATGCGATACAGCCAAAATGCGTATCATATCGATACTTTGAACCTTGGTACTAAAGTGGAATTTTCCCTTTTCTTTTTTTATCGTTGACCTCTTGACATGGAGTAAGGGGATAAGTGTTGCAATTTGCAACAAAGATGGAGGGGTAATGCTATTTTCTAAATGCACATGTACCATTAGGGTTTGTGAGAAAGGTAACCATCATCTTCACTATTATATTTCAGTTCACTGAAGTTTTGGCACAAGGCAAGTCATAAAGTTTGATTTAACCACCAACTTGTAGGGGTTCCACTATTACAGTACGGATCTCTTGGCTACAAGAACTCTGCCCACGCCTACCCACAACACACTACCCCTGTGCATTAAGAATATCTCTTCGTGCATAATACTATGTAGGTGGATGAGATGTTCTCCATGTGTGGCTGCAATGTTATGTGGGTAATATGGGTAGAGTTCTTTTGGGCAGGAAATTCAGACTCCCACTATTATTAAGAGTGCTCATTGGTTCAGTTTCAATTAACCAGTTGATTTGGTTCAGTTTCAGCTCACAAGTATTAAAAAACTAAAGGGTTTGGTTCAATCTCCAAAACATGCTCAAGGTTGTAAGCATTCCTAAGTATGATACCAATAATACATGATATGGGAAAAGTTTATAACCAATCAATTACTATCATAAAAAGTGATAAGTAATGGGATTTGTCAAAATTCAAATGTAATTGATTTGATAATGTAGTATTATGCAAGGTTTTAAAAGGCTAAAGGCGGAGGCGAGGTGGTTGGGTCTCATAAGGGTGAGGCATAAGCCTCGAGCAAAAGAAAAAGGATATATTCATAAATAATAAATACATGAAAAACATAAAATTAAGATCTTATATGGCTTGTTTGATATATTAGACACAAAATTAGTATCAATACACCCCAATGCGTCGAAAAGGGTGTATCGAATATCGTCACTTTGAAGTTTGAACCATGCACATCTTTTTTTATTTCTTTTTTCTCAAAATTTTGCATTATAATCATGGTTATTTTTATGTTATTTAATTATTAAAAAAAGTTTTTTAAATACCTTAAAAATGGGTATCAATACCCTAAGATACAATGGCATATTGTATCAGTACTTTGAACCTTGCATGGCTAGAATCTTAACATAATAGTTTTTTCCCTAAAATCTAAACGCTAGAACAAAACAATACAGTCAAATCTTTAAGCTTAGAGATATGAACCAATATTGTTTTAAGAATGAAGCATTCTCATTTCATTTCTTGCACTTGTATGCATTAGTGAAGAATGACCACCTATGTGATGTAAAATAGATCATCAAATATGGGGTAAGTGGGCAAGTGGATAAGAATAAAGCATGGACAATACGGAATATGAATAAAGCAAGCTATTTTTTATACATTTATTAATTATTTGTATGCTTATGTATTTTTTTTTTTCAAAATACAAATCTATACAAAACAAAGCATTTGTCTTAAATTTCTATTTTACCTCTATTTAAACTTTCATATTTAAATAGAATTGATGCCTAAGCCTTGAACATTTTGAGGCCAAAGGCCCAAAGGCCTAAGCCTTGCTAGTGGAGTCAGAGGCAATTGAGGTTGAGGCCAGGCCTAGGCCTTTGGCCTCGCCTTAATAGCATTTTAAAATAATGGTATTATGCCATTTCAGTGGCAAATTTGAATTTGATCCTCACAAAATTTCAGTGCCATTTTAAAATAATAGCATATACGGGCAACTTTTGGACAAGAGTCACGAGACGTTAAAAATTTGTGTGGCTCTGTCTATTACGTATTTAAGGACTACGATAGGAAGGCTCATGAGCTTACCATCTTTCTTCATTTCCATTTGACTCACTCTGCCTCCTCCTCGTTATAATACTCCATCCAGTAAAGAGAGAGTAAGAGAGGAGGAATTTAATTTCACGAGAGTCGGTTGGCCGTTTTGGCTGGCACTGAGTGGATATTGAATTCTCTCTCTTGCTTCAAGATAATGAATTCTTTTATCATTGAAATAGTATGATCCTAAACCATTTTCTTTCCATAGAGTCCAGTAGATCACCAAATCCGATTAAATAAATTCCCGCGCAAGAAAGCTGAGAAAAATCTAGGGTTTCTAAGCATATAAGGGCAATTTTTTGGGTTTAATATCAATAAAAGTAATATATTTAAAAAAAATCAAAAATATGTTAACTTTTTAAAAATAATATCAATAAAGGGCAAAAATATTGTTCATCTTCTTCTTCTTGCTGCTATTTGTTCATCAGAGCCACCGTCCACTGTTGCCTGCCACCGTCGTCCGCTGCCACCTCCGCCCACCTCCATCTCCGCCTTTGGCAACGTTGCTGGAGGTGGCCAGAGGTAGAGGTGGCGACAGCGGCACTGGTGGTCATTCCTCTGCCTGCCGCCGCCGCTACCTCTGTCTCCACCCATCTCCAGCAACGTTGCTGGAGGCGGAGGCAGAGGTGGGCGGAGGTGGCGGCGTTGGACAGAGAAACCACCAACGCCACCGCCGCCACCTCTGGCAACGTTGTTGGAGGCGGGTGGTGGCGGCAGACGGCAGCTCTAGTGAACAAATGGCAAGAAGAAGAAGATAAACAGTGTTTTTGCCCTTTATTGATATTATTTTTAAAAAGTGAATATATTTTTTATTTTTTTTTAAATATATTACTTTTATTGATATTAAACCCCAAAAGTTGCTGTAGTTGGAATGGATTTCATGAAAGGGGGTGGTCTCCCCTTTCGCCAAATGGAATCTTACTGTAATTGGAATGGATTTCATGAGAACCTCACACGTGCCAACTTACACACGAAGAAATCTTACTATTTAATACCGTTCATTTCTGTAAATTAATGCAATCTTACTATTTAATACTGTTTATTTCTGTAAATTAAAACTTTTTCATGTTGCATGAGAGACAACTCTCTTTCCTCTGACCACTTCTCTCTCCCTCTATTTTGCATGTATCACATGTGTCTACTTTTCATTCTTGTTTCTATTTCTCTCTCCCGCCATCTTCTCCTGCGATTTTCATTTTTTCTCTTCCTCGGTTTTCCCACTTTCTTCTCCTCTCTCTCTTCTGCTCCATCAACTCCCTCATTCTTCTTCTTCTTCTCTGCCTCTCTTCCTATGTAGAAATAATGGCTTTACCCGAAAAGTATGCAAGGACCAGTGGCGGTGGTCCTTGCACAGGAATTGTTGAATTTGAATCTGGGTGGAGAGATTTCACCCTCCATTGGAGGCCTGAAGATTTTGCAGACCTTGTATGCTTCCCCCCCCCCCCCTCTTATCTTCCTAACCTCACTTGCTTTAGCTTCTTTTATTTCTTTATGGGTAGATACTTGAAAGGAAATAGATTAACCGGGCAAATCCCTGGATGAGATTGGCAACTGTGTTTCTCTTAAAACTTTGTAATTTCTTGCCTCAAATCAGATTGACCATCTCTTATGAGTTTTAATTCAATGGGAATGTAATTTGAGAAGATTGACGACCATGTGGGCTCTTTTCTTGTGATCAGGGACTTGCCCGGTAATTCTCTTTACGGTGATATACCCTTCTCAATCTCCAAACTCAAACAACTTGAAGATTTGTAAGTTATACTGCTTGCTCCCGAGGATATGCAGTTCTAAATGAAATAGAGTCCTTTTTGCGAGAATATGCATCATCATGAATCTTTCAATGCAGGATTTTGAAGAATAATCAGTTGACGGGCCCAATACCTTCAACTTTGTCTCAAATTCCAAATCTCAAAACTCTGTGAGTTAACGTTATCTTCAGTGTATTGTGTCTACTTCTAAATTGGCTCCCTCTTCATGTCTGATAACCTAACACGCTATTATCTTATAAACTTGTAACATGTTTTCTCAGGGATCTTGCCCAGAACCAGCTTACAGGTGAAATACCCAGGTTAATCTATTGGAGCGAAGTTCTACAATATCTGTGAGCATTTGTTTCCTCTAAGTCTCCGACCCATATTTCTATTTTGTGATTTGATGATGTTTTATCTTTCACTTTTTCCTTGGTCAATTGATTCTCCAACGTCATAATTCTTTTTTACAAGGGGTTGCGAGGCAACTCATTGACTGAAACACTGTCCCCTGATATATGCCAATTGAAAGGACTTTGGTATTTGTGAGTATGCTCTGTAATCTGTACTACCAAACAATGTTCTTATTATCCATTATAGTTCTAAATGTTTAAGCTTAAATATCTATTTTCTCGTTACAGGGGGAATAACCTTACGGGAACAATCCTGTATGTTTCTTAAAGCATGTCCATTTTGTACCTTGTTGCCTTTACATGTCGCATTGCACTCAATTCTGTATGTTCCTTAAATTTCAGGGATATCTCGTACAACCAGATTACTGGGGAAATTCCTTATAATATTGGTTTCTTGCAAGTGGCCACATTGTATGCCTTACTCCAATTCTTCTTGGTGTTAATACTTGTGTTTGTGGTCCTGCCATCAGTGTTTTAAAGCTGGTCTTTTCCCATGTTAGGTCACTTCAAGGTAACAGGCTTACAGGGAAGATTCCTGAAGTTATTGGTCTAATGCAGGCTCTTGCAGTTCTGTAAGTGGCATGTTCTTTTGATGATTTGTTTGTCAGAAAGTTCTGATAGTGAAGGTGTTTCTATCTTTCTCTTTTTCATTTTGTTCTTCAGGGATTTAAGTGAGAATGAACTGTTTGGTCCAATTCCACCAATACTTAGCAATCTGTCTTACACAGGGAAATTGTGAGCTCAATGACCTTAGTAGCATACATGTAAATCTCCTTGGTTTTCACTGTTATATACCATAAATACATCATGGTGGGTGATGTCGTACAGGTACTTGCATGAAAACAAGCTTACCGGAAAAATTCCCCCAGAACTGGGGAATATGTCAAAAGTTAGCTATTTGTAAGTGTGCATTCCATTATATAATTTTTCTGCATGTGGATAAAGTATACTCTTGTTTAAGGGCTGATAATCCACAATATGTGCAGGCAGCTGAATGATAATGAGCTGGTTGGTGGAATTCCTGCAGAACTTGGAAAATTGGAAGAACTGTTTGAATTTCCCAAGGCATCGAAACAAGATGCCTTGGGAAATTCACTGGAGAACCGGATTTCACTGGAGAACTGTTCTCCAGTGGAGTTCTGTCTCCCTCCACTCAAACTCTCATCTCTTTCCTTCTTCGATACTCTCTATGCCTCGCTTTCTCTCCCTCTTTGTTCTTTTTGTTTTCCTTGTTCTGGTGAGAGAACTCCACTGGACAACCTGATTTCACCGGGAAGCCTTTTGCCAGCCCTTCCAAGGAGTTGCTCTACTTCTTCTGTTGGAAAAACCAGGACCATCAAGCGTTTTGTTTACGATGAAGGAAGAAAGAGAAGATGCGGAGTCTCAGAAATCATCTGCGGAGAGGAGGCCGAATAAGAGGCAGTCTTTGGGAGACTGGACACTCTTTTCGGAAGAACCTTCAAGACTTACAAATTCAAAGCACTTGTGAACCTCTCCATCTCCCGCCTTGCCATCCTCAAGAACCAGCGTGGATTTCCTTTATTGCGTTTGTTTGAATACAGGACACCATTGTACTGTTGCCCTCTGTTTTTTGTTTTTTCGTCCTCTATTTTTTGTTTTGATCAACCTTTTTATTTGTTTGAGTATAGAGAGGCACTAGCCGTTTTTTATCACCCCTTTGGACGTGCATTATGATCCACTGACCTTTGTATCAGAGGCCACCCTATACAGTGGAATCCACCACCGTCTTTGCTGTAGATGGGTCTTGTGCATGTAGACGTAAGAGGAATTGATTTGTTAAAATTGAAGGGGGTAGAAAGATATGGAAATTAAATGCCATATTAGCATACCAACAGCATGTCAGCTTAATTTTTAGTTTGGGGACTGATATCAGTCCAAGGGATCTCCCAAGATATAATCCAATTTTTTGCACCGGCTGACGAGTTCTTAAATGAGCGAAATTCTGTTACTTTGTAAAAAGCGAAATCCTATGTTTGTCTTTTTCTTCTTAATTTTTTACAATTGGGGCAATTCGATATTCAAGCACGGACGCCCCTCGCTAGTATGCTATTACCCCAACCAATATTTTATCCTTACGGCGTTTGGTGTAGGCCTCACAAAAAAGAAAGATTTTGCCATCTACCATCATACGCCTTTCAAACTATTAATTATTGTTTTATTGTTAATTTGCTTGGCGAGGCAGAGGCAGGCTCAGCCCATTCGCCTCTCCCGGCTAGCTGAAGGCTGAAGCCCTTCCCTCTCGGCTCTCCCTATCCGCTAACTAGCTAATATAATAATACTCTATGAAATCAAATCCCTTTGCCCCCCGTAATCACCTGCCAACCACATCCTCCACCAATAATCAAAATAATGGCCAGTGGCCTAGTGCTTTACTGCTTTCTCTAGATTCCAACTTTTATATTATATAATATAAAAAAGCATTGATGATCATGTGATAACGATGATTAGAGAGGCATCTAATTAATGTTGCGCCGTAGCGTTATAAGTCCTTTTATTTTTCTTGGAAATGGGGTACAGGTACAGGATCCGCTGGCCGCAGCACTCTATCCAATCTCATTTCTTTCCTTCTTTATGTTTATGATTCTATTTACATGACCCCACCAACCGGTCCATCCCAATGCCCCTAGTATTGATGATCACATGCTATGCTTACATCTTGGAAAAAAGTTTTTCAAAGTTCCAACTACCAATAATCTTTTTTTCTTCTTTTATGAGACCGAATCAGCCCCCACAACGTCCCAAAGCACATCCCCTTTCGCATCTCCGCCCCACACAATGTGCGACTGACACCTGTCTAATTGCACACGGTTTTAAACTTCTTCCATATTTCCGCCCCCTGAACCTTAAATCGGAGTTTCTGACCCCATTTTAGCCCGAACTCAGATCTTCGCCCCCATTTTTGGCATTGGCAATCGCTCCAGCCACCATCACCAGGTATATTCCAACCCTAGTTTTTTGTGTGGGTGTTTTTCATTTCAAGAAACCAGTGCTCTATGAAGAAAAAACTAAGCATACTTCAAGAAACTAGTGCTCAACCAAACACCGGTGCCAGAGCGATCGTCGGTGCCGGAGAGGGAGGTGGAAGAGGGTAAAAAAAAGTCTCTGGTTTGAAATGAAAAACAAAACATTAAAGGGGGTTTCTGTGGTTTGAAATGAAAAAACCAAACACCCACACAAAAATGAGGGTGAGGATCGTTGGTGCCGGAGATGAGGGTGAGGATCTAAGCTCGGGCTAAAACAGGGGTTAGAGTCCGATTTGAAGTTCAGAGAGCAGGAATATGGGAGAAGCTCGAACTTTGCCCTTTTGAGATCGTTTTGGGGCTAACAAGCGAGGCTAACGTCCATCCCATTAACTCCGCACGTGGGAACGCCCCACTACGTGCGACTGAACAGGTGTTAGTCACACGTTCTGTGGGGCGATTGTTGAGCGAGGCACGGTGGGGCGGAGATGTGAACTCGTCATGTATTGGAAACATTATCATCATTTTTTATATTATCTTCAGGAGATATTTCCAATACACGGCGGGGATGTACTGTAAAACGTTGTTGAGGGTAGTCTTGTGGGGATGATTTGAATTCTTCTTTTATACATGGGTTGTAGCGGGAATGGTAATGGACCTGTTCATCTTGCGCTCAATCAATTGAGTTCGAGGCTTGTTTTGTAGTGATGATATTACTGGATCCCCTCCGAGGCTCCGATGTGGCTGATTCAGTGATTCGCTGTCTAAAAAGCTAATAACAATATAACATATTACCTTTAACAGAAAACCAATGTTTTAAAAATCAACCGGAGGTCAAACCATTTTTGTCCTCATATCACGGGTCAGACGGTGCCTAATATATATAATCTTTATATTTAATTTATGTTTGTTAATTCAGTTTTAAATTTTTTATTTGTAAAAAATATGAAAAATTATAATTTGAGGGCTAAAAAAGTGTTTTTTGAAAAAAAAAATAGCGGGACAAGGCACCTACTTAGGACAGATCTCAAAAAATTATCCCCCAAAAAAAAAAAATCACCTCAATTGGACAGTAGAATGCAAAGCTATGGCCTCCTGAATTTTGCATACATAGTATGCGACCTATGACCCAATCACCGAGTTGAATGGGTCAACGGTCCAACCGTCTAGGTAAGACGGTTTTTGACCAAATCAACATTTTCTTTTACATTTTCCAAGTTTTACTCAAGCCAGACCCAAAATCTTGACCGGGTAATAATTTGAGTGATTCAACCGACTGGGTCAACGACAAGTTGAAAACACTGCTGAAAAGTACATTATATTTGTAAACTGATAATTCCTAATAATTATCCCCTCCAAGAGACTTCCCATAGTCTGTTTAATTCAAACAAAAATCAGAGTGAGAATTAAAATCAAATAGAATGGAATTTCATTCTCAAGGGAGGGGGAGAGAATAGCCATTCCCTCAAATGGGAAAATGCCATTTCACCAAAAATAGTAATGGAGTTCCAATTCCACCTAACCAAACAGTTTAAACTGGAATGACCCATTCTGATTCCAATTCCAGACACCTATTCCCACGAACTAAATTCCAATTCCAGACCTCTATTCCTGCAAATCAAACCGTATACTACATCTGAATCGAAGATGTGTTGTTGTGAACCAAGGGGGGCAGCCCATCTCCATTACCCATTACCCCAACCCTGGTGGCCACGGAAATTAAAACAAGAAGTGAACAAAGAAAATACAGAATAAAAACAAGTCTAAGTAAACAATGAAAAATGGATCGAAGAGTAGACCCGATGTGTGGCAAAATTTCGACCACCCACTGGAAAAAAAGGAATTAAAAATCCAATCAAGGCCATTCTTTGGCTCTACTACCATACTATGTAAAATATGCTGATCTTACAACATACTTATGCTGGAATCAGAATTCCATTCCCATTTCTGCTGGAATAACATTCCCCATTTGAAGGAATGGCCAATCCCTGCCCCTCGGAAATGAAATATCATTCCTGCTGATTCCAATTCTCATTCCCATTCCTGTCTGAAGCAAATAGACTATGGGAATAGACCATTCCGATTCCGACTCCGACTGTAAACCAAACCGACCCTTATTAGTTACTACTGATAAAAAATAAGGAGATCCAGCGACTATGAATAACTCCTAGCAACAAAATGTGCTCCTGATGCCACGTCTGTTACTAGAGCTCAAAAAGGAATCAAATAGTTGCCCAAAGAGCTCCAGATTCATCTTGATTGACACTCGTGTGTTGATGAAGCAACGAGCATGTTGCCAATTTGTGAAAAGGGAAGACAATCTGCTACCCATGCTTTACCTCTTAAGGACTGTGGTTTAATCGCCTCCAGACTAGTTTTCTGTTTATCTTAAAGATTGTGCCGAGTTTCAATTCCCAATTTCTTTGTTGCCTCTTTTACTGTTTTCTGTTTTTCTGTCATCTCTCTTTTTTGTTTGATCTTCGTATGTGCTGTTTTCTTGTTGATTAATGAATATTTTTATATCTGCATTTATGTTCAACAATTAGTTCAATTCAATCATTTCCGAATACAATTCAAAACAAACAACCAAAGAATTATGTAACCCAGCAAGCAAAAGAACCAAATGCATCAATAATCAAGAAATGTGAAAAGCGCTGGGTGTAGTCTTTTCTTTTTTTAGAGCTTTCTTCCGCTTCCTCTCACTTTGGGGTTCTTTGCCCTTCAGGTCATTGCAAAAGGATCTCAATGAGGTAGCCAGGTTCTCATTCCTATGTGCTGAAACCAAACTGAAGCAAGGTTATGCTCTCACAAAGTTCATAATGTATGTAGTGGTTAGCATGTAAGGATGAAAACCATCTTGTTCCTTTTAAGCCAACTCTTGAATCAACAAGAGAAATTGAGAAAATTTCAATAGCTCAAAATTAATTAGATACTAAAAACTTTTTACAATGCTTGTATGATAGCTTTTTATAAGAAATAAAACCCTAACTTAAGACAAAAGTGAGGTTCTACCTAAAATAGAATTCCAAAATCCACATCACAAACTGATACCTTGTCAGTAAAAGGGAATTGCCCCAGATTCACAAGATCTCAGTGGTCTCGTTGAATGGCTAACTGAAAAACCTAGCCCATGACACCTAAAGTCATGTAAAATGGATGAATTTTACCCCTAACTCAGAACACAAAAAGTGACCAAACTGAAACACACAGAACTACTAGAAGGAATAATAATTCCCAGTACAAATGAAAAGACTTTCTACTCTACTTCTACATCAATCTGTATAAGCACACGGTCAAGGAACAAAAATGCATCTTGTGAAGAATAAAAAACAATACGATAAAGTGGGGGAATTCATCCAACCCAACAAACAATGGAGTATGAGAAAAATGCAGAGCTAAACCACATAAGATGGGATCCAAACCATCTTGGCTATTCCAATACCTCCTTTACCAGGATAAATGGTAGGGCCCTGGAGTGAATGAAAAGCCCGTGAATTAGTCTTCAAGGTAAAATGTTATCATAAAATCAAGATTTTCCTTAGTTTAATGAGAAACAACTTGCCTATCAAGCAACTTCTTGTAGAGAGAGGGATTGATAATGTTGTGAAATTAATGAAGAAATTGCACATATTCAAAGAATGCTTATTTGTAACACAAATATGGAATTTACTGGAATGTCAAGATATTAATCCAAAGATTTATCAAAAAAAAAATGATATTAATCCAAAGAATGAGGATAGGATTTTGGAAAACTAATCATGATAATGAGGGGATGGGAAAAGTTCATATGAAGTGCATGGAACAAGAGAAATAAATACCTATTCAATGGACATTGGTGGTAGCATCTAGGAAAGAAATGGCACTAGACAAATATAATCAAGTCAACAAAATCTGCCTATAGAAGGGACTCCAAGCTTATAATTGAATGCCTGCAAGGGAAGGCGAGTATCCCACTGGCACATCAAAGGATATCTGGAGTATATGGAGCATAGAAAGAGAAAGCAACATCAAGCAGTGGATTTTCTATCCAACAGGGCATCGACATAATGCAGCCAGTCAGGACCTTGAAACTCTTTTTTTGAGAGAAAGGTAACTGAATTCATTAAGAAAAGAGAAGGGTACACAAGAAGGTGTACACATATAACGAAAATAAAAACAAAAACAGGGATCAGATCTTTAGGAATTATACAGGAGGAAACTTATCAGAGTACAAATATTCTAACAGAGCACCTAATTTTGCTAGTCCATCTGCAAGAGCATTAAATTCCCTTGGAATCCAAATCAGGTTTGCATTAGAAGCAGTCAGTAAATCCCTTGCCTCCGTCAGAAAGTGACTAAGTCTCCACAGCCTGGGGAGATGGTAGCTTCTCCGTCAGGGTGGGGTTTCCAAACACGGGAGTCTAGGGAGTATGGGGAAATGTAGACTTCTCTGAGAGAATGGAGAAGTTCAGTTAAATCACAGATCTCCGAATCCCTTAAGGGCCTTCTAAGATTCAAGTTTATGTTGCTCTTAGAGGGGGAAGAGGGGAGGCACTGGGAGATGGTAGCTTCTTTGTTTAGAGTGAGATTAAAAAGTCTAGGGTAAGAATCTGCTAAAGTGGCATTTCCCCACCACAGGTCAGTCCAGAATTTTATTCTAGTACCATTACCCACTTTAAACCTTAAAAAAGGACCAAAAAATTTGTAGCTAGAGATGATACCTTTCCAAGGGCTTGAGGGAGCTACTCGGTTTGAATGAATGTTGCATTTCCAACCATTTGTGTTCAACCCATACTTGCTGGTGATAACAGCTGCCCAAAGAGAATTTGTTTCTGTAGGGAATCTCCACAGCCACTTTCCAAGAAGAGCAGTGTTCTTCTCCTTCAAGTGTCCAATCTCCAACCCTCCAGCCTCTTTAGACTTACAGACCTGAGCCCAATTCACTAGATGACTACTTAGACTCTTTTTCTCTCCTCCACCTTCCCAAAAGAAGTCTCTTTGGAGTTTTTTCAATCTGTAATCTGATTTTCATAGGAACCTGAAACACTGAGAGAAAGTATATAGGCAGGTTTGCTAGAGCAGCCTTAATGAGGGTAAGTCTCCCCCCTTTAGAGAGAAAGCAACGTTTCCAAGTGGCTAGCTTCTTCTCATATTTTTCAAATACTGGTTCCAAAAAGTTTGGACTTTTTGGGTTCCCTCCCAAAGCCTTAATGATGGACCTTCTCATAAGTGAGGGGAAGGTTTTCCACTCTGCAGTTCAGAATTGCCTGGAAACTTTCTAGAAGAGCTCCATCGACTAAGTTTATAGCCACTATACTGCTCTTTGAGTAGTTAACCCTTAGTCCTGTGACTAGTTCAAAACAGTTTAGCACCTTTTTTCACATTTATTTTTATTTTTATTTTTTTTATCAATAACACTTTCATTAATTCATCAATAGAAGATTTACAAAAGGAAGACAAACACGCTTATCTTCCAAGAGCAACAAAGAACC